CACCAAATATGCCTGTGAGATACATGGTGTTTCCTTTCCTCAAGTTAAAACCCAGGCAGAAAACCTTTTCTGTTGCTGTGTCTGCCCTGTGGAACCTCATCCCCCGGGAGATCAGGTTGGCCCCAACCCTCTTGGTCTTTTGCAAGGCCCTGAAGACATGGATGTGTTCCCAGACTTGGGGGTCAGAGTGTCTATTGGAGCCTGGGAATTAGTTTTGTTGAAATATTTGTATTGTACCTCTATGTATGTTTATTTTAAATCTTGGCTGCCAATTATCTACAGTATTCCTTTTATTTTTGCTGTTTTTTAAAAAAATTGTGGTTAGACGGGCAGCCATATAAATTGAATAATGAACGAATGAATGAATAAAACTTTATTATTCAATATTTGGAATTGTAACTAGCCTAACAAATGTAATCCTGAATAGACAAAAGTTACTTCTGATTACTTAGACAACAGTCAGTTTTGGATACCGTAGGTTCCCATGTGAACAATTGACAATCTTTGAGTATATCAACACCTACCTAAGCTGCACCTGCTACTCATAAAGGAGGGTTTATTTGCAATTACATATGCCTTAAGAACTTCATTGTTGCCTCACTACAGCACTAAGCAACCTGGAACATTGGGAGATTTTTACTGAAGGATATTGGAGATAAATTTACTGTATGAATAATTCTGGCCATTGCCCTCAAAGATCTTTATACAAGAATTCCAAAATTTTCTAAGTTTCAAGATGCAAATGGCAAGATCTCAGAGGTGAGGACACCAACATTTTCTGAGATATGATGACCTTGAGAGATTTTGGACAATTGGAGAGGGATGCCTTCATGCAAGTCCACCCAATGGTATTCAGCACCTGAAAAAGCTGTCCGTTTTACCTAAACCAGTTTAGATTGTGCTTATTTTCATATGGCATTGTATCTGATTTTTTCATATAATTATTTGTTTTTTGTTTTTGTTTTACTATTCTTTGCTGATTTTTGTTCATATTTAACTAATGTTTGCTTTTGTCATTGCTCAGCTCCTGGAGTTCTTCCTTAATTTTGAACATGCAGAATGTAATCACCATAAATATGCTGGCCTCAGTGCTTCTAAAGACTATGTCTCTGTTTTAAAGTTCTGAAAGAACAGCTGTAAGGTGCATTGCACGTGCAACAATTTGACACGCGGGTTGAATATTTGGGATACCTCTGCTGTAATGTGAGAGAACTGGCCTGAATAAAATTAATGAATATGCATTGTCTTTGTGTGTTTATTGGTATTATTTTGGGTGAGGGTCAAAAACAAGTCACATATAATTATTTGTTTACATATAGCATATCCAGCATGAAAAGAGCCATTATGGAAATCATAGACTAAGCAGACAAGCTTACAATTTCACAGTCGGCCTCAATGCTTATTTTCATGTTATTAAGGGACCTCAAAATAATTTCAGTCTAATGCTCATATATATGCCTATATTTAAAAAAAAAGTCTTCTTTAAGTTGGGTCTCTGGTGTCTTCACAGATATGTCTACTTCTGTTATGGTTGCAGGGTTGGGTGAAACAAGAACACAGAAAAAAGACACATTTTTGGTGAGGAAATACCTGCATGCTAAAGAACTTTATCTATTTCTAGGGGGCTAATGCTTCATGTTTGCACCTAATGAACTCAAGTGCTTAACTGAGTTAGAATAATCGTCTCAGCTGTGGCTGAATTCTATATAAATGAATAGCGAACACAGACCAACATGCTAATGTCTATGTTCACTGAAGCTTTCACCTCTCTCATAATGTTTTGTAATGAAGGTAGATGCCAAATAAATACAAATACATATTTTAAGTAACCCTCAGGTGTACAGAACAAGAATTTTCAGAACCTTTATGTTTACCTTTCTGAGCACCTGAATGTAAGGCTTTAAAGAGAGAGATTTTAAGACATTATGCAATACAATTTCTAGATAAATCCCTCATTAAAGTTAATAATACATTAGTAATACATTCTATTAAAATAAAAATACATTCATTTTTCTAGTCTACTCCATGACATAACAAGGAACAGATAAATTTTGCCATCCATGGCTCTCAGTCATGTATCCAGAGTTCTGAAAGGCTTCAGGAGATCAGTTAAGGACTACTTGCTTAGCTTGGCTTGCAGCCTTAGCCGTGATGATTAGTAACACACATGTTGAAATTGCAGTGTTCACTATGTGCACAGCATGTTGGAAAATAAACTGAATCAAAAACCCAAGTGACAAATAAGATTAAAAAGAAGAGAAACTCCAAGCATGCTTGAGATAATTAAAATTAAACTCATAGCTTTATGGTAGCTCCATATATTACATAAAAACATAGTGGTAGAAAGAGGAATATCGTTGGACATCAAGAAAAGAAAGTCTTTCTGAAATTGTTTTTAAACCCTTCCAAACATCCTCACTGCTACATATAACATTCTTGTGGGCTTGGTGGTGTCTGGTAAGGGTGTCTTTACCTTTCAGAAAGACAACATTTCTCAGGCCATTATGTCCTGAACAGTTACCATCTCCCTTTGCTGCACTGTGTTCAGGAGCAGGGAAAACAATTAGGAGCAGAAATCTTTACTGATTCAGCCAGCTATAAAGGTCTGATCCACTGGACTTAATATAATAGGGAAGGATGGCTGGATATGATGGCTCTTTCTTGTAATACGAACAGACACCTATGCCTGCACACTTCCATTCCACGGTGAAAATGTCAAATTATTCTTCCAGTATAACCCAAATGGCTGGTTCATATACTCAATTCCTGATTTGCTAATAAGCTGGGACTGAATGCTGACCGCTTCGCTTTCCTGCTTCATCATTATTTAATGTGGCTTATAATGTGGTTTATGTTCCTAGCTAACAGACTAACATTAAACCACAGATCTTTGTTTTGGATGCAACAACTAAGTGTGTTAGACTTAAATCAGAATGTAAGAACTGAAGAATGGAGGAGGCAAAATGCATAGGAATAACTAAGGAGGAAAATGGGAAGGGGAGAGGAGAGGAGAGGGTGTGACCTTATTCCGATTCCATTAATGGAACACAGAGTAAACTTAAGCACTCTGTCATCATATCCACCCCCGGTCATGTGGAACCTGTTTGATTCAAAGAGCAGAATATTCATAGCAAATAATAATAATAAAAAGTCCACAGTTCTGAAGCCCTGGGAAAGATTAAAGATACAAAAGCTTAGATAAAGAAGATTTGGCTTAAGAAAACAAGCAACCATTTTAAAAGAGCAATTTAGGAATTATGCTGACCAGACCAAAGCAACAGCAAATGGATTAATGAGTATGTTCTATACACATGCTTAAAACTTTCTCATTCTGAAAATCTCCAGATAACTTTCAGATCCTCCACCAGGACGTTCTTTGTAAAAACAGTCAAGCAAGCTTGAAGCAATTGTCTGCTCTTATCCTTTACAAATTACAGAGTTGGACTGGCCAGCCCTGTTTTTATGCAATCAACTCTAAAAGATCTGTGGAGGACATAAGGAAACCTATATCAAGCCTAGTGAAGTTAGAGGTAAAATCTAGTAAACTTAGAGAAAGCTTTGTGTCAACAAAAAAGACCGATCTCTCTGTTGTACAACCTAATATTGTTTCAGCATCCAAACAAACAAACCATGAACATCTTGGGACCCATACAGATTTGGCAGATTTGTCCTCTAGGGCAAACTACACATTACACACAGTGCACATTACAGATTTACCAGCAGCAGCACAAGAAAAAGCAGCGATATAGACGATAAACATCTATAATGTCTTAGCTTACTGGACTCCATCCATGTTTAATTCCTTTAGGGCAAACTACACATTACATACATTGCACATTATTCCTCCCCTACCCCCATTCTGTTTCTCAGTGATTTTCATTTAAAAACAGTACTGGAACAGAGAACAACATTCTTTTTCCTGCAATCCTTATTAATTGATTTACTTACTTCTTCCTCAAAATTAAATAACCTGCATTGCTTTAGTCTCAATAAGGGAAAACTTCTGGAAACCATTTTGAGAGAAAATTTTTGAACAGGAAAATGGCCTGAAGCAAAAGAATTAAACACCTGTTTTCCCACCTGGTTGTCTTCAGTTGTAGATTGCAGTGTCTGGCTTTCACAAAAAGTTGGAGAGGATAAATTACACATAACTGAAACAAGGCATGTTTACATCCATACCTCTGAAAACTTTTCCAAGCCTTAATACAGAATATCTTCTAATTTCCTATAGCTTTAAGAAGATGAAAATCTTCACACCTCTGAACTATTCATAGAATTTTCTGGACTAATTATGGACTGCGAACTGTCACTGTGTCAGGAAAAAAATAAAAGTGAGTATGACTCAGGCTATTTTAATTTTAGCTTTCAGAGAAAATCTTGAGTGGATGGGTTTGTTCCAAACCTTGCTCTTCTTTAATGATAACTTTGCAAATTTTATAAAAAGAAACCAACGGTCAATCAATTTAACTTGCTTATTCTGAGTTTTAATCAATGGTCTTTTTGCTTTTCCATAAAAGCAAATAAAAAATGGAGGTATTATATGTAGATACATTATCAAGCATACAACAAATTTGGGAACGTCATATTCAAGCAATAAAAACAATGTGTCCTTTCAAAACTGCTCAGAGGAGAATAAATTTATAGGGTTGTGCAATGCTTTGGATTTGAAGGCAATGTGGTGTTTCAGATCAACTGGGGGCATGAATACATCTACATGCAAGTCTTAAACCAGCCCTGTCTTTTCTCAGGAAAAATATGCAGTCTATACTTCTGAACAAACCCATCCTTAACTTCAGAGTTGCTTCATACAACACACTAAACCATAATGTAGTTTTTTTCGGTTTTGGCTCAGCATGTGGTATGGTTTAATTAAGCAAACCATGGTATAAAATGCTATATAACCCAGGTCTTAATAATTTAACATGCTTAAAGCTTGTTCTCTGTTTCCCCCCAACCCCTGGCATGATTTACCAGCCACTCCTAAAAAGTGAAACACTTACATCCTGGATTTCTTTTCATCTGTAACCGCGGCATTAAGGTAGCATATGAACTGGTCTTTTCCATCTTGGGTTATCAGCCAAGTAAATCATCCCCTTGTGATTTACACAGCCATTTCCAGGGACCATTTGTCTCCAGATCTATCTCAAACTCCCATAACTAGAGAAAACTCTGCAACTACTGAACCCCAATCCCCAACAATCGTTCACTGTAAAGAAGAAAGATTATTTTCTTCATATGCCCTAGTATTTACTTTTACACTACATTGTTTTCAGTAATATTCTTCTTAAATATGACTAATACCCCCTGACCTTCCCCTTCACTTATCTTCATAAAAACACTGTGAGGTAAACAAAGAAAAGAGAGAGAAGGTTCAGGGTCCATCAGACATGTGATATGAAACTCCACGTGGAACATAGATCTGGGTCCTACTTCTTTTTCCAATAAAATGCTATCTTAATTGACTTCTATTTGCTTCTGGAAATACTGTTTGTAGAGCGTAACAGTGAGGTGCAGGTAAGGAGACAGCAGACAAGAGGAAGTGGTTTGCAGCAGAAAACTAAGCCTGGCCCCAAAGTCTGGCATGTCCCAGCTTGTGAACCAGTAGCTACAAACAATAAGAAAAGCACAAAGTCTTTCATAGCTGTATGGCATTCTCTGTTGTTTAGCCCTCTGTCTCAGGGCTAAATAAAGATTCAGTTCAGCCCTCCACCTTAGCTACTCTCTCCAATTTGACAATAAATCTAATACTAACACAAATCTACATCTGCATTCTCCCTCCCATATTATTTTTCTCCACGTACTGAGTAATAGGTTGCATCTGTGCCTCGCTTGTATCATTTTAGACTGCAGGTAGGAATTCACACAATTTTCAGTTCTAAAAAATATTCTCCACATAGACTAGTTTATTAGTTTACTGGGGAGAAGACTTGGCTAAAACAATTATGCCTGACTTAGCATTTTCTGTGTGAAAGGTTTTTAATTATTTAATTTTTTGGTATGGGGCTATATCCAAGCCGTTAATTCCATGTATGGTTTTAAGTAGCACAGGTCAATCGACCACTACTGGCAGTGGAAAAACACAAGATCCATTCTTTATTTTCAAAACACAGAAATTACAAAAGTAAACAAGCAGTAAATGGGAACAATGCCCATAGAATGCTTTACAAATTGAGCAAGGAGGTCAAAGTTCACAAAGCACATATTTTATGTAGGTCCAAGGAAAACTGTAGACTTGCTGTGAAACATAGCAAACCAACTGTTGACTGTTTCATATCAAATTTTTCATCCCATCAAGAGAAGAACCCCATGCCAATCCCATCCCATTTGTTTTTCTCCTCAGTCATAAAAAGGCTGCATATCATAGAGGCTGCTTGGATGATGTGGAAAGTAATACACTGGGGCTGCAATTAACCTGGTCACTCAAGCAAGGCAGGTCATTGTGAATAAATCAATCAGAGTCAGTGCCCCAGCTTGACATTTGCAAGCTGTCCACTTCCTTCCATCCCTTCGTATTCTTGTATTGACCTTTGCTGATGTGTATTGCAGATGCATGAATGACACCACCAAAGCAAAGTAAGCTAAGTAGGAGTTGCCAGACAAAATTAAACAAAACAGAAACAATTATTAGTGGCACTGGTATAGACTATCCTAAAAGAAAAGCAGGATCAGATCTGCCCAATTGCTCATGCCAGGCAATCCCTACTTCTCCTTCCACAAGACCAAAAGCACGAAATGGACTGATTGGATAGTTCCACCCAACCACAGGTGTGTTAGACCTCAACTACAGGTGTAAGATCACCTGGAAAACCCAACTGTAGTCCTTATTCTTAAAAACAATATATGATTCCTGCTTCTGCAATTAATAACGAGCAATGCTACCACAGCTCCATTTTTAAACAGCTGGCCTTTATTCACTTAACAGCTTTAACTATATATTATCCCAGTTTTACTTCAGCTCTTTTAAGGCTGCATCTCCTTCATAATTCCACTGGCTACGGTGATGCACAGTCCAAAAAGAAGCCCTTTTAGACTTAGAACTGTGCCTATCTTTGGCATACAGCCATGGCAGGATTCAGTTCTAGTTAATATACATAATTTCCTACTTACTAATGCATTTTGTTATTCATTCCTAAAGAATTGTAAGAACCTTCTGAAGGTCTCTATGGTCTGCTTCGAAGCTAACTAGAAGATTGTGTTATCCAGTTCAAATTTCTGTAAGTTCTTCCCTCTTTTTCATTTCCAGTTCATTAATACATTTAAAAGAAGGAGTAGAACTTTTAAAAGTAGGAGTATAGAGAACCCCATTATTTACTTTTTCCAGTATTAACTATTTATCTTGCTTAATCTTTTAACCAGCTGCTAATCTGTTAATGTTCTTTTGATGCCAATGTAATTTCTCATTTTTGGAGGGTCACTGATGAGGGGCCTTGCCAACGATAGCATCAGTGCAATCACCATGATCCACAACTTTGTGACATAAAATGCTGTGGGCTTTGAAAATGCTGTGGGCTTTGAAAAAACCGGTTTCTCTTGACAAACTACCTTAACATACTGTGTGGGTCCATGAAATTAAGCACTGTTTTCAACAATGGTTCCAGTTTATTGATCCAATACGAATATCGTTAGAAAATAAACAGGAAACAGCATAACTGAAAAATGTTTTTGACCTAGATTTGTTACCTGCTGTTTTTTTTTGTCTGTGTTCCTTTCTAACTCACTCTGAAAAGTGCTTTTTTTAAAAAAAAAAAAACCTTAGCTAAATACTGTTACTTGACCAAATGAAGATTTTCCAAGTGTAGGCTTGCAGTAATTATGAAATTTGAATTTACTGGATGCATACTTCTTATGTAGCTGTTGAACCTAGGTCATCTTTCAGAAAAGAAGCTGTCAATATTTAAACTGAAATAAAATTAAAATTGTAAAATGCAGAAATCGTCTGAAGAAAAATAAGTATTAAAATACAGCTTCTGACCAATGGGTACTATTGCTGAAAGAAGTGTTGAAAATTTCAACCCCCCCAGGAGAGCTATTGTGGTAATGTGTTCAGAGCAGACCTACCCATCTGAGACCCTCTAAATGTTCAGAGATTGCAAATCTCAGATAAGACAGTAAATTCTGGGAGTTGTAGCCCCAACCCATCTGCACAATTCCAGTTTGAGGAAGGCTGATTAACTCTTCAACCTAAGATGAGGTTCAAAGCTGAGTTCAGTGATTAAGCTCTAGCCCAAGCCAGATTCAATTCTACTTGCTCACTACAGTGTTATGAAGATAAAAGGGGAAACGGGTGAAAAAAGAATGTATATGCTAATCTGAGATTCTTGGAGGAAGACCAGAATAAAAAATGCCATACATGAATGTGAACAAAGACTAGGCTATATGCCTGCAATACTTTTCAATTGGCTATGTGATTGATATTATTTGATTTATATTGCAATTTTATAGTGAAGCCTCTGATACTGAGTAAACTGCATTAATGAAGTGGAATGCTCAAAGATCCAAGGAACAGCACATTTGCAATCTTACTTAGAGAAGTGAAAGTGGTTAATCTGGCTGGTTTTAAATGTGACATTGTTCTCAGGGGTACAAGGCAGAATAAGATGATGATGTCACAAGAACTGGGTAGCTAAGGGGAAAGAGAACTAGATGCAGGGTGTAAATAACAGATTGAAAGCAAGCTGTGGTAAAGATAAGGGAGGTGATAGAGGAGAAAGTTTGAGGAGGAGGCTTTGATGAAAACTTCCAAAATTTAAGATCAATATCACAGGTAAGGAAACATCTCAACCACAGGCCAGCTGAGTGATGTGGTTGAAGTCATAACCAAGTGCCTGGAAGCTGTGTGAATCTGGATGGGAAGGAACACACTCAGGCTCAATCCTGACAAGACTAAGTGGCTGTCTCAATATGGACCTCCACATCTGGAGATATTCCATCACTGACTCTGACCGGGGTTGCACTTCCCCACTTGAGACTCGTGCACAATCTGGGGATGCTCTTGGACTCTCAGCTCCCACCCAAAGAGCCAGTGGAAGTTGTAGTTAAGAGGGCCTTTGCACATGTACATCTGGTGCACCAGCTATACCCTTTCCAGACAGTCACTCATGCCCTGATCACCTCACAACTGGGCTACTATAATGCACTGTACTTGGGGCTACCCTTGAAGATGACCCACCTGGTCCACAATGCAGTGGTGAGGGCAGTGATGGGTTTGCTGCATTATACACATGTGACCCTGCAGTTCATGAGCTGCACTGGTTACCAATTGTCTTCTAGGTTCAATTTAAGGTGCTGGCTATCGCCTTTAAATCCCTTCAAACCTTAGGGCCTGGCTTAGGTCCCACCAATTAAGCAATGCCATCTTGCAGGACCTAAGAAATATGACTACTCCATTGCAGCACCTGCCCTCTGGAAAGATGTTCCCCTGGAGATTTGTGTAGATCTTACCATTATAGTGTTTCAGAAATAGCTGAAGACTGGCTGTTCTCCCAGGTTTTGGAAACAGGGTGATTGTGGTGCCCCCTTTTATTGCAGATAGTTTATAGCTGGTGTCTTGCTTTACTGATCAGTTGTATATTTTTTCCATATATTTTTAATCTATAAGCCACCCAGCGTCATTGTAGAGTCAGGTAGCCTTCACATTTAATTAAATACATAAATTATATGGGAGTGGGGTGGCAAGTGGGGTCTTGAGAACAGCCTCATTGGTAGATCATAATAGGGTTGCAGCATGATAACCAAGGGTATCATAAGGGGGAAGAAGAACTCAAGCTTGAGACCACTTTTCCCCGTTCTTGAATGTTAACAGTTATGTGTAAAAATCTAAGCAGCCCCATGATGTTCAGGTGCTAGCTTTTATTTAAAAGATTTGCGTCCCTCTGCTTCCTTGTTTTGTTTTGGGGTTTATATATTGTTAGTAGGCTTGGGTAATTGTAAATTCTGACTTTCACAGTTATATAGGATCCCATCCAATTATGCATCAGGAATTCTGCTCTTAGGGCATCACTGATGCCTCACATTGGCAGCATGAGAGAAGATTTAATTGGCAGTCTGGTTTATTGTGGAGAGAGGGGATAACATAATTTACCATTATCCCCCATCCTGCCCCAATTTGTATAAGCTCTTCTAATGTACCTTGGGCTCAAGTAGAAAATACTCTTCAAGGAGCTTGGGTTTCTTTTGTTATGTGGCTTATGGAAAACACTCATTTTCAGGTAATGCCATTTCAGTATCTTTCAGAAGGTCTGAAAACATCCGTTTTGAAAAAAAAATGTTTAAAATGCAGTATTAAGAAAGAAGAATTATATAAGGCATTAATTGTTTAAGAGAACTCAAGCATGAAATCTGCAGCTGGTCTTCTATCATTTACATTTCTATCCAAACCACATAGTTTGGTTAAATCACTAACCTGAAAATTAGGGGGTTGAGTGGAAATGCTGACAACTCTAAACTTCAGTGGCACAGTAATCCTGGAAGCCATTTTAAACTAAGTTCAGGTTTAGAAAAAAATGCAATTTAGGGGTGCTTAGGACCACAAAAATAAAATTATGGCTTTTCTTTTTCTGTCATACAGTACTGTGTTCAACAGGGTAAAGCTGATTGGGGTGGTAAATAGTTCCAGGATTGGTCCTACAAACACACCAGCCCTGGCATTTCTATCGACACCTTTACGTTTTCTCTGAAATGTTCCATTTCTTCTTGCTAGCTTGTATTTTCTCCCCCTTTAATCTGCCTGAGCCTTTAGTTCTCAACTTGCTTTTTCTCTAAGTCAACTGTCCTAAGACAGCATTTTTGCCTTGATAATGATGTTAACTAAATAAGTGATATCACTAAAATGCAACAGAAAGATCCACCACTGCTTTGCCACAAGAAACGTTCAGTGAGACCTCTAAAGGCAGCTTTGTAGAAAAATATGAAGGAAAAATAACCCCGATAAATCCGTGAGGGCAATAATACATTGGATGGCTGCTTTATTCTATTTTTGTTTTGTTTGTTTCCAAAACAGAAGTTCCTACATGCATTCCTTTGCCTAAAACTAAATTGGGAAAAAAATGATAAGTGCATTAACAGCCCAAAGCCAGCTGTTGAGAGAGAGGCCATTTAGGATGCAACTTGTCTATTATATTAAACATTTACAAGCAATTTCTGAGTATATTTATACTTATTTACGAAGTTTGTACGTTGCCTTTAGACACCAGCTCGAGACTTTCACTGCATTATTTAACCTTTAAAGCTGTATATAGCTTTGCTCCTAGGTACTTTTAGGACCACCATCTGTACGTAGAATGGACTCCCCCAGTGCATGCTCCCTGGCAAAATCTATTCATGATCCTCCATTCTTGAGATGAAAAGAGGGTAGGGGCTCAATGTTGTTGTTGCAGCCCCCAAGCCAGAGCCCACTCTAATTGGCCTTCCAGAAGTGAGTAAAAACTGGAGTATGTCTGGGAGAAGTTGGCACCATCTGTTTTTTTGCATTGTAGCATTTTTTGGTGTTAATTTGTTTTTATTGTTTTATTATTATAAATTGCTGGGAGTCCATGTAGATTACACTAGTATATAAAACAAATATATCACATATTCTGGTCAGGGGCAGAGATATGCAAATCATGTATCATCTGCATTGAAGATACCTTACTCTGTGTCAATGAATGATCTCTCCCAGTGATTTAATGAAGTTATTATACAATATGGGAGAGAGAACCTAGCTCCAGGACACTTCACAGTGAAATAAGTAAGGGCTCAACAAGCTTCATAGTCACCCAAAAGTGAGCTGTCCATAACAAGGGACTGCAAATAATTTCTCCTATGACCAGATCACATCTTAGATGCTCTGAGGTAAATACCAGATGCAAGTGTTGCTCCCCATGTTAGTAGGGCCCATGAAATCCTGAGCCACTTCTACCCCCACCCAGGGATGGAAGGTTGAAATTTCCTCATTACTTACTTTATTTATTATTTATTAAACTTGTCCCCGCCCATCTCCCCCCAATGGGGGACTCTGGGCGGCGTACAACATATTAAAACAATAAATAAATATACAGTTAAAATG